ACAGACTCGTCCAAATAGAGTGGGGTGGATTTGAGGTATGGAGGAGGAGAGTCCTTTCTAGGAGCAGTACCATGAAATGTCATGCATCACTCGTATGTTCACTTACCTAAGGATTAGGCTTTGAACATATAGGTGCCCAGTCTGAAGTCTTATGTTGAACAGATATATACTGAAAGAGCAGTATGTGCCAGACATTATTCTGGGTATTGGAGATTCAGTACAGAAGTAAACAAGCATGGTCCCTGTTTCGGGAGCTCACAATTTACCAGGAGAAATATTCCATCAGCAGTCTCACATGGTGGAAGTTCTGTGAAGAAATAAAAGAGAATGATGCAATTGGTGGTTGAAAAGGGACAGTCTGAAGAGATGGCATCTGAAATTACAACTAAATGACAAGAAGAATCCATCCATAATATCTTTCCTGGATGAAAGATATTCCAGGCAAAAAAGGATGGCAGATGAAAAAGATTTAAGGCAGGAGTGAACTTGATGTGTTTGGGAGACAGAAAAAAGGGCTATGGATTGAAAACATACTCAGGAGGCAGGAGGGGCTGTAGGATCAGGGGGTGAGACAGGCAGGACCAGATAATGTGGGGCTTTAAGCAATGAGATTTTATTCTATGTATCTGAGAAGGTATCCTATGTTTTTATGCAGAAGAGTGGCATGATCAGATTTACATTTTTAAGAAGACCATTTCCACTCCTGTATGGGAATTTATTATAGTCAGAAAAATAAGGAAGGAAAACAGGAAGTGAGTGGTTTAATCCATTTGCAATGGTGGCTTCCAGACTTAGACTGAGGTGTTAATAGTAAAAATGGGGAGAATAAGATAGAATCCAGATATGTTTTAGAGATTGGATTGCCTCGACATGCTGATAGAATCAATTTTGGGGAGAGTAAAAGAGAAAAACAAGAAATGTCTTCTAGCTATTTGACTTGAACAATTAAATGAATGGAGGTGGGATGGAGCCTTTGCTGATATAGGAAGTCCTAGAAAAGGAAGGGATGTGTGTGTGTGTATGTGTGTGTGTGTGTGTGTGTGTGTGTGTGTGAGTGCGCGAGCGCGCGCACATGTGTTGATAGAGAGGGACAGTTTATTAAGACTTTAAAAAATATGTTAAGTTTAAGATGCCTATCGACATTTAAAAGAAGATGTCAAGTAGCATGTAGATCTAGAAGCCCAGAATATATGAGAGAAATCTGGTTTGGAGATATGAATTTGGAAGTTATTATCATATAGACAGGTTATTTAAAGTTACAGACCTAAAAGCTTTCACTGAAGGAAACCGTGAAGGCAAGAGGACTCACTGTAAAGTCCTAGAGCACCAAAACATTTGAGCCATCAGGTAGGTGAGGAGAAGCCAACACTGAAGGCTAAGAAAAAAATCACATTGTGCGCCCATCTGTTATCACAAGTAGGAAGTGTGACCAGTCAACAGAGAGGGTGTTTCTCTTCAGCAGTGTTCACAGCATCAGTTTTTGTCTTTTGAATGCAGTCCTCTAGGTCCTCAATGGAGTAAATCATCTAGGATTTCAGCTTATTACACAGCTCTGGAATAAAGAGGCCCTCATGGAAATCTGTGGACCAGTCTGTCAAGACTAGATGAATCAGATCCATTTTTATGTCCACTTGAGGAAAAACACCAAGAGTGGCTGATCCCCATGAAGGGGAGAAGAAGAGAGGGAAAGAAAGGGAGAAAAGATGAAGTTCAAGGTTAGAAGACCTTGCTGGACTGTTTTTAATGGACTTGGCTTTTTCCCTCCTGTGCCTTACTTTATAGTTTCTCTTAAGCGGATTACCTTCAGACACAGTAAGCCATGGAAAGGACCCTTTCTGTCACAAAGATAATACCTATTTTCATGTGATCTGTTGTGTTTTTAAGTTCTCCCATCCTTGAATCAATTTTCTAATAACTAATTAGCATCCCTTTCAAAGTTCAGAAGCCTTGGAAAGGGTAGGCTATAGGGCAGTAGCTAATTTCTGTCTTCTGATTTTCAGTCCACACATCTGCTACTTTGCAATCTATCAGATATCATGCCATCCAGCTAAGATGTGATTTAACTAACAAGTATTCAAGCATAAGATATGGTTTATTCTTGTTCTCAGCTATGACATTTGAGGAAGAGTGTATGATTAGAATCTAATATCATATGATGCTGGATTAATTTTCTACAACTATTTATTGAGGTAAAGGTTTATAAAAATAATCCATTAGCTTTGGCTGTCTCCCTTTTCTTTAAGATTCTTTGGGGGGCTGTCATGATTATTAATGCTTGTTGTTGCCACTTAATTCTTCATCCTGTACCATTTCCTTCTCTGCTGCATCCTTTTTGAAATTCACAGGGCAGTCACTTCTTACCAAATTCACCTAGAAAAATTGTAATTCTCAGGGCAACATAGATGTTCTGTTTAATTAAGTGTTCTTATTAACAAGAGGTTAATAAAGCAAATAAAATGGTGAAATCCTCACCACTCTTATTTAAAACAATAATCCACACAGTGGTAGTACTAGCTACCTAAGGAAAGCCTCGGTATTTAACACTAAATAACACAGAGGGCAGAAGAAGAAAGGCTAAGATTCCAGACAAGACAGTCTTTTGTGTTGGAGCAGACAGGAGTGATTACATGACTACACCTAACAGAATACTCTGCCAGAATAGTTTGAATATTTAAGAGTTTGTTTTTCTCACATCACAGGGGGTCAGGAGGTAGGTGATTCCTGTTCTTAGTTCTGGATTTAGATATGCAGAGATCTTGCAGCTTCCATTTTGCCCTTTAGGCCCTGGCCATCATGTAAAGACCTGCTATCCTTCTGGAGGAGAGGCCATGTGAAAAGAGCCATGGAGAATGAGAGAGAAGCCAGGTAGAGAAGACTGAAGAGCTCCAGCCAACAGCCAGCACCGAATCCCAGACATGTGAGTAAGGCCAGCTTGGATCCTCAAGTCCAACTGAGCTGCTTTGGTTCACACCATGTGAAGCAGAAATTAGCCAGCCCCCACTGCTCCCAGCCATAATTCCTCACTCACAGAATTATAGCAATAAAATGGTTATTGTTTTAGGCTACTAAATTTTGGAATGGTTTCTTATGCAGTAATTGAAAACAGAAACAGAAAGTTAAGTAAGTTCTTATAGTGATATATTACCCCTGGTAGAGCTCAGTGCTTTGTAGAACTCTGTTTCTAACTTTTCACATCAACAATGCCCCTTTAGATTGTCGTATGTAGTGTTATCAGACTCTACCATTTGCCAGAAATATCAATGTATGCATGTAAGTTTCCACACAATGCATATATATTCTTTGAATAAAGACCAAATACCTACTCATCTACTAGTGAATGCTAACAGCAAGGAAAGAATAATGATAAAATCCATGTATTTATTTCACTTTTATATATCTTCCTAGTCTTGGAAACAAATTATTTTTCTTAAGAATTACAATCTTGTTTACATTAATAGTAAGATTTGGCATGTTTCTTTGAAACTCCCCATCCTAAGCTCTGTTCTGCATGAGGTAGCACTCTATAAATAACACTAATGTTCACAATCAGGCTTTCATCCTCTACTTGAACTTTTTCAACATGTTTTCAAGCCGCTAGTTAATGTCATTTAATTTTTTCAAACAGTATCAGGTAGATAGTACAGGTTTTATTATCTCTAGTTTACATATAAAGCAACTAAGACATTGACCATTGCATGAAAAAATCTAAGCATATGTAGTGATATACCAACAAGACCCACTGAAGAAAAGTTAATCAAAACTTTAATTCAGATATTCCTCCTTTAGTGTGGTGTCCTTTGCAAACCATAGTTAAGAAACTTATGGCATCTAAGTGTGCTGATATTTCATGGTGTTCTCTGTGAGTCCAAGAGAATCAGATTTTTAAAGAACCTTCAAAAAGTAACATCCAATTAATTTACCTCAATGGGAAATACCTATGAAAGCAGGTATCTTATAGCTCAACACTCAGGGTCTAACATTGTTTTAGATGCAAACAAAATCAGCTCAGCCTTACAAAAAGCTTTCCAAAACCATTGGGCCTGCCAAAATGCTGAGCAACCTTCTATCAGCAAATTCCTATTTTACCTACTTACATTCATCTAATCTACACTTTCATTTTGTCCCACCACATATTCATAAACTGAGAGAGAACTCTGACCCCAAGACAAATACAACTGTGACGAAGATTTCCACCTCCCTCTGCCCACACCCAACAAATGAAGAAAGAGAAAGAGGGTCTCTATTAAATTTCCTATTGGCCTACTGCCTGCTGCTTATGAGTCTCACTGTGGTCACATGATACAGGAGAAGGAATACATAAATGTTCAGCTTTCATTTTACAACTATGGAGAAGAAACATAGCCTTGCATTTTGTAACCCAGATGTAATTAAGATTACTGCTCAAATGTAAAACTGAAGCTTGTTTTTTCACATCTTTATTAGTCATATGAAAGAAAATGATTAGGTTTGCTTTGATTTCATTTAGGCGCTGGGAACATGGACTAGTGTTTGTTTTCAAGGCTGCCAACGTTTAAACCTTCCAAGCAATTTTGGATTCAACAACTGAACACATTAAGCAGCTAATGTATAACACACTATGTCCTCAGTTGAAAACCCACGGCAACTCCTAAAACATTTTAAGCCATAGTTTTTGTCATGAAACTATTGTAAATCTATGTTCAAAATCTTGTTTAAATTTTGTTTAAAACTTTCTGCAAGAGGATGCCCTTTGAGAAATAATTTCTGAAGTGTTTATATCAGAGGCACTTATTAAAGTCTGAACTACGGCTATTGCTAGGGATTTAGTGAGACTAATCACTTTATTTCAGTTTTGGAGTCAATATTCCTTGATTCGCTAACTACAGTGCTAAGTGGAAAAATAAGTCGTCTGATTAAAGGGAATGGAAAAAGAGATTCTTAAATTTTCAATAGAATGACTTTTCTCTTTTTCTCCTCCTTCCTCTCATCTTATTTTCCTTGTTCTCTGCCAATTTGTGCCATGTGGTTCAGACAAAAGCTCCCAGAAGGAAATCTACTTCTGGAAAGGATGATCATAAGATTGATTTCTCAGAAGAATGTCAGAATGTTGATAATTGAAGTTGACTGAGGGGTCTGTGGCAAGACGGTGCCTTATACTAACATCCTATCTCATATATTTTTGAAAAATTATATAATGAAAAGTAAAAAATGTTTTCTTAGGCAAAAATTAGTAACCAATTAGCCAAAAGAGTTAACATAGGTAATGATTTCTAAGTAACAGAATCAATGCTAAATTTTCTACTTCCTATTTGAAAAAGCAGACACTAAATTTTAACATTCCCTGGTCTGTACTGTCAAAAGCCCTAAGACATTTTAATGTAAAAATTACTTAAAGATTTGGTAACCTTAGGCTATTTAAAGGATAAACTAGCTCCAAAAGCATAAGTTAAAACTTTTTCATATAGGTGATGAAGAAAATTTGTGTGTGTGTGTTTTTTTTTAGATGATTGCCTTTTTAGTTTTATCAGCAAATAAAATGCTAATGTCTATGTTATAGCTATCTATTGCTGCAAAACAAACTGCCCCAAAATTTAATGATTTAAAATAACAGCCATTTCATTTACTTGTGAATCTGTAGAGCAGGAATTTGCATAGCAAGAGTTTCTCTGCTTCATGAAATCTGAAGTCTTAGCTGAGATGTCACTGATGGCTGGAAACCTGGTGGACAGCTCCGCTGGGGTCACAGGTCTGGGGCCTTGCTTCTTCCTGTGGGCAGGGCTTCACAGTACTCCTCCCCATGGCCTTGCCAAATATATATCTGAACACAGCCTGGTGGTCTCAGGGGTGGTTGGATTTCTTACATCGCAGCAGGCTTCCCAAGAGAAAATGAGAAAGCTGTCAGGCCTCAAAAAGACAGCTCAGAACTGGTACACTATGAATTCCTGTTGCAATCTATTGATCCAAGCAAATCACAAGGGCCAACCCAGTTTTAAAGGAAGAAGAACTACAAGAATTAGCACTCCTTACCTTAGCAGGGGTAAGGGAGGTATAGGATTGTGGGCAGCCATTTTTGAAGACTACTACATAGTGGCTTTAAAAGAGCTTTATGTTTGAATACATCTTAGACTTTGAATTTAAAGCACATTGAGCACCTGGTGGCAAGATGTCCTCGGTTTTGGCAAATATCTAAAAGGGGAAAAGGACTTTATGACAGTGAAATGGAAAATATCTTTAGTACCCTTTCTCATAAATTAAATAAAAATTACTAGTACAGTAAAGGCACAGAGTTTAAGTCATATTACAATGCAAATGTGGGAAGAAATGTGATTTATTTATTCAGTCTCTAACCTGGATTTGTTCCCCAAATAGCTATACACTGGTAAGTAGGAGAAAAACTACATTGAGTGTGCATTTTAGCTTAAAGCAATGAACTATAACCTAAACAGTCTGCTAGCTAATATTCAGCCATGACCCTCTCCTCTATTAGTCTTCCAAAGAGAGCATCTGAGTGCATAGAAACAGAAGGACATCTTATGTGTTCCTTCGATGTTGAGAGAAAGGGGCCCCTGAGCTTGTTTTAGTCTCTGTATATTTACCAAATATCCAAGGGGTTATTCCTTTCTGTCCTGGTCATCATGCCTCCTATTCGTGCTGTTGTGTGTGGCTAACGAACTTATGGCTCATTGTTTCTCCTTGGGAAAGGTTCTGGATGGTATTCCCTGGACAATTTGGTCTCTCCTTATTCCTGCTGGCTGCAGATACTAACTGCAGATCCTAACTGCTGAGCTGTCCACCTGGACCAGTGATCCCCACCCATCCCAGCCTGTCCTGCACAATCAATCCCATCACACAGCAGACTCTACAGCAGTCCCATGGTCATTTCATACAGCACTGACAATTGAAGGCTACCAGGAAAGTCTACCCCAGAGCCTCTCTGCCTGATTACCCTCTGTGCAGAAAAGAGTCACAGCAAGCCTAAGACTGCTATCGTTAAGCCTGCTTACAAGGTTATCTCATGGCTAGTGTATAGGACTTGGATCGTGGGAGGATTCCCACCATATTAACTAAAAAATAAATCACTGTCTCCCAACTATTTGTACAAACAATGTGGTTTTTGCTGAAGACCTTTCTTCCTTCTGGGAGCCTGGAATTTGGTACCTGCCAGGAAGGGGATACCTTCATGATAAGCTCCCAGTAAAAACTCTGAGCACTGAGTTTCTAATGAGCATCCTGGTAGACAACATTTTACACGTGTTGTCATGCCTCACTGCCGAGAGAATCAAGTGCATCCAATGAGAGTCCACCAAGAGAGGACTCAAGGGAGCTTGGGTCTGGTTCCTCCAAACTTTTTTCCAGGCCCCTTTTCCCTTTGCTGATTTTACTTTGTATCCTTTCAATGTAATAAACCATAACCATGAACACAACACAAGCTGAGCCCTGGGGGGCCTCCTAGCAAATCACTGAACCTGGAAGTGGTCTTGGGGACCCTCAGCACATTCTCTGCCACCATGAGGCTTTGACATGGTGGCATCTCAGATTCAGAATGCATGGTACAGCCTACAAGATAAGGTTGGAGGAAAGCCAGAAAAGACGAAACTCAGAACTCACTTATCTTGATTTCTTTCTTCGTTCTCTTTTCTCCTTCCTACCATTGCCTGAGTCTGGAAGGGGGAACACATTATTTATACCTCCACTATATCAAAAGTTTACTACCTAAGGCCGGTAAGCCTGTCAAGGACATCAAGGGTGAAAGAAGTAGCTTTTCTACCCTGGAATAGAAAGTCTTCTTACAGATCAATAATCTATCTTACAGGTTTTTTCTCACTGCATAGTCATAGGTTGCATGTTGAATATCATCCATCTTCTTCTCTCCACAGTCCCTGTGCAGATGGATGCTTTGGATGGGATGAATTAAGAGCTTATAACTGCAAAAGTAAAGGAGTAAAGCACAATAAAACATTTCAAAATATTACCTAATGAACTTTAGCTTAAAGTTCATTGCTTTTGTTCATATTAAGGTTAATAAAACTATAGTATGAACAAAAACAACTAAATGTGTGTACATATACTATATATATATATATATGTGTGTATACATACACACACACACACAAACACACACACATATATATTCAGTTTTCGTGTGCTTGTATTACGTTGCTACAAAACTGAGGTTTGCCACTATTTTTAATGTCAAAAACCACAATTACTTTTGCACCAGCCTAATAATTTTACTTCATAAGTTTTATCTTTTGTTTTTCAATCTAGAAAAGAACTTCACCAATCAGAGAAAACCCATTGGCAAATTTTCTCTTGTAAAGCAAGTTTTTAAAAAATTCTAAATTTAGGACATCACTAAAAGGTAATGTTTAATACTGTACGTGATCCAACAAGTTTTTAATTTGTAGAGTCAAAAGTAAATTTTACCAATGATCCAAAAATAATAATCAGGCTGAGTGATCAGTTTTACCTGAGATGGCTGTGACCATGAAGAAAAGGACATTAAAATAAAGCAACTAGTGATAAGAACATTCCCTTAATGGCTAGTGCCATGTCCCAGAGCACATATCCCTGTAATAACCCCTTCCTCAAACTCAGGCTCTCCTTACCTTCTTTGTTTCCAAAACAACCTTCTCCCTTGCATACTGAATAAGAAAATAAATGTACTCAAGCAAGCTAGCATTACCTGGATTCCACGAGGTAAAAAATCGCGTGGTGAGGGTCTTTTGGAGGAGGGTAGTTGTTCTCAAGCAGCATAGTCTGATTTTAGTATCACCTGTTTTCATTTGGAATTAAGGAGAATCCCAAAAATAAATGAACTGGCTCAGAACCACTTGATGAAAATAGCGTTGAAAGGCCCTGTCTCCAGCTGGCCACCACACTGCAAACTGTGGTTGGGGTCCCCACCTCCCTCCTATTTCCTTTCCTATGTGAGAGCAGCTCATTCCTGCTGCCAGTGCATATTTAACATGAAATTCTTCAAGTACCACTGCAAAGCATCCAGCAAACACACCACCTCTAAAGTTAGTCTTACATATGTAGCCAGGGACATGGATAAATATAGAGACCTAGAAATACATACAGAACGCCAGGAAAACCTGCTCTGGGCCAGAAACATATTGTGAATATGCAAATATCTCAGTGTCTGGTACTGACGCTCTGCCCTTTAGCACTTGCCTAACTCCATCTTTCTCTCTTTTTCTCTTTGCACCATGTCCCCCCTCCACCAGTATCTTCCCATCTGTTTATTTTTTCCAAACTTTCATTTTAAAAAATATGGTATCACCGCTTAAAAATAAGAAAAATATGGTGCCACAAATACGGCTGCCAGGTGTAACATATGATGCTGCTTCTGGGAGTCAGGGAACAAAATGTATAAAGGAGGCTGCATTCAAATTTTCTTACAAAGGTTACCGGAAATGGATTTTATCTATTTTATCTGAACTCTGCTCGTTCCTGGTTAGATTTCAGGGCTGCTTTGTACTCTAAAGAAATTGTATAATCCAGGCCTTGTCATCAGCTTTCTTAATTTATTTCCCTGAAATGACAGGCCTGGCAGAAGCAAGCCTGCCTCTCAAATGTCTGGATTACAGTGTAGCTATGGAAACAGGTGTTAAAGGGGCATGGATGTCAAGTTACACTGGTACTTTGCACATCGCGTTCTATGCGGACAGCATGTTATTTTACATGCTGACCGATGCAGCCGCATCCCTGAGCTTGATTTACAGGAGACCATCTCAAAGGAGATCTGCCTCGAGGAAACTATCAAACTGGCCCAGGATGGAGAAGGAAGACAGCAATTTGCTGTTTTCTCTAAAGCTCTGATTCATGTTCTCTGGTCTGCCGGAAATAAATAAATTGACACAAAAGACATTAACAAATAAAATAAATTGACACAAAGACATTAGGGAAATCAGAATATATTTTTATTTATGGGGTAATTTCCATTTTCTTATCTAAAAAGAAGAAAAATGAGAAGAAGATTTTAAGAAATAATCCTGCTCTAATTCACATGCCCTCTCTATAACTTTCATGAATATCACTGTTTACAGTACTAAAGACCTAGTGAATATCAGCATCATTATATAGAAGTAGCTATTTTCAATAACTTGCAAAAAACAATGACCTCCATTAATCTGACCTACGCAGAAAGACAAAGAAGCAAAGGAATGAATAGTTCTGGAGGAGCCACTGTGTGCTGGTCTAGTGATCAGACTTGAGTTATTGTATTTCATTTCATCTTTACAAACAGCACTGCAGGGGAGGTATAATCCCTGTTTTATGGGAAAGGAAACTGAGACTCAGAGAGGTTAAGTAATATGCTCAAGGCCTCAAGGTTACAAGTGCAACAGCCGGAATTCAGTCTGAGGTTTGTCGACAAAGCCCATGTTCTTTCCACTAATCAACTTAAGCAGCAAGTTTAGGGCACATAAGGCCAAACTAGCATGCCCTCTCCCTGGCATGTTTCCTCTCACTGCAGCTGGTTTCAGAAGACAAGGCGTCACATCTCAGGCTGGGTCACAATAATTAGGTGTGGTCCCTTGGCACTCATATTATGTTGGCCGGGCTCCAACTTCTTTCTACATTAGCATTACTCAATTGAAATTGTATCCAACCCTTGATGAGTTATTAAATCAAAGTCCAATTTAAATTGATATTGAGAAACTATACTTTTATAAAGCAGTGGCATAAAACCTAATGGATCCTATCTGTTTCCTTTATAAATACTTATTATGATTTTTGATGCATCATCGATCTTCTGACAGGCAAAAACAAGAATAAGAGCAGAGATCTTCTGAAACCCGCATATATGTAAAATTTTTAAAAATTAAATTTATGCTTCTGAAAAGGTGTGGTCAGATACATTTGCATTCACCTTAATGTGATCATTTACATGCACAAAATGTCTAATATAGATGAAGCTAACTGATTTCCAGGTGTCTATCCATGTCTATCTTATAAGCAGATAAAAAGAGGCTCAAATAAAACAACCCAAAAGAATAAAGAAGGATGTTGTGAACTGGCTATTGAAACTAGCAGCAATTGGAAAGTTACAGCAAATTCTGCTTTACTGCCATTGCCATACTTATAGTTTCTTTTGAAAATCTGTACTAATTCATGGGAAAGACGTAAAGCAACATTACCAGTAATGGATTTTGGCCTCAAGTACCACTATTCAAATTATGCTCAATCCTGAGGAGTTGTTGCCACAATCTAGGCAATGACAAGCCAGTTCAAAGATGCAGCTGTACCTCTTCAGTGAGATCTATCTTCCCTTCCCTGGAGTAGGAGTGGTTTTAGAGAGGCTAACCAGCAAGTCTGAAAGAGGGGTGTTGATGCAAGACAGAGGAAATGCATCCGTTTTATAAATAGGGAGCTTCCTTCAGTGTATTATTTGAGATTCAATTTCTATTGATTGGGATACAGGGGAACATTTAAGAAGTATATGTGTTATATGTTAAAGGAGAAATGGAAATTCATTTGTTGTAATGACGTGGCTGGTGTTGAAGGACTACTGAGACTACCTGAAAGTTCTTTCAGGATCAGCTTTGTAGAATAGGAACTTGGTGGAACAGAGAAGGAAAATATGGGTAGCACTCAGAGCACTTGATACAATCCAAACCACCTTCTGAGACACAGAGAAAGAGAACTAATACTCTGTATATGCATTATCCCTTTGGACTTTTAAAATACCATAGAAAATTGGTCTTATCATTCCCATTATCCAAGATCACAGAGATAGTAAGTAGTGATGGCAAGACTTGAACCCAGGGATACCTGCTACCTCCAGGGCTCCTGCTTTGCTTTAAGACCATAGGGATTATCTGTCCTGCCTCGCCTGAATTGTGGTCATGCCAAGCCTTTCCTTGACAGTTGAATTAGTCAAATTCACAAATGAGCCCAGATTCTAAGTCTACAGTGCTCAAAATTAGCAGAATTCTATAGTCTGTTACTCCTTGGATAGTCTATTTTCTGCCATTCATCAACTAGAAATATATTCCAACTTGATAAATATGATTTTCTTTTCTTTTTCACTTCTGCTTTGAAATTGCCCTTTTACACCATTTAGGAAACAACAATCTTGGACTA